TTTTATTAATTCACTCAAAAAATAATTTTAATCTTCTCTGAGAAAATACTCATGTTTGACCTAACAAAATAGAGACTATAGATCAGTATTCCTTTTAATACAGTCATTACACATGGAGCAAAATATACCACCATACTGATGTGTAGCAAACACTAAAACACAGATGTACATAAAAGTAGAAAACCTTCTCTCAGAAATAATGACTTAGCTACAAAAATCAAATCCCTCTGTGTCATGGTCCATGAACATGAAAATTCAATATCTTAAAGATGAACTGAGGGCATCAACAATTTGAATAAATGCAAACAATTTGCACCATAAGAGTACAGAATCAAAAGCAAAATGGATCAAACTCAAGCTCTACTGATTAAAAATCACAGGTTCATTCTTCTTTTAATTTTGATCATCATTATAACATTATAATCATTAGAAACGAAATTACAGGGGAGGAATAGGACTTAAAAGAAAAATATCATATATAAGCAAATAATCAGATAATAAGTTTATTAGCCCTATCTCTAAAATATATCCATAAATTGGAAGGAGCATTACCAACCAGGTAAAAACAAGCCAACTCAGAAATTGGATTAAGGAGAGACTAGTCAAATCTACTCTCTGTTACTTACTTCAGTAATTTTTTTCAAGACACTAACATGCCTCTTCAATTGATATCACTTAATTCATCCTTATTTTTCTATAGATAATGCCAGTAAGCACACATAAAATGTACACACACACACACACACACACACACACACACACACACACACGATAACAAAGAATCTGGTATTTGGGCACATCCTGAATATTTACTTAGAATTTTCTATTTTGTTTTTTAGCTGCAGGATCCTAATATAGCTTTGTTAGTCAGGGTTCTCCAAAGGGGCAGAACAAATAGAATATATGTATATATAAAAAAGAATTTATTAGGGAGAATTGGCTCACATGCTTACAAGGTGAAGTCTCACGATAGGCCATCTGCAAACTGGAGAAGAGAGAAGCCAGTAGTAACACAGTCTGGAATTCACCTCCAAACCAGGGAAGCCAGCAGGGAAGCTTTTATGCCCTAGAGCCACTGGTAAGCTGCTGCTGCAAGTCTCAGAGCCCAAAGGCCAAAGAACCTGTAGTCTGATGTCCAAGGGTAGGAGGAACAGAAGCAAGCATCCAGCACAGGAAGAAGAAAGGTAGAAGACTCATCAAGCAAGTTTATCCTTCTTCTGCCTTCTTTCTTCTAGCCATGCTGGCAGCTAATTGAATGGTGCCTACCCACATTGAGGGTAGCTCCTCCTCTCCCAGTCCACTGACTTAAATGTCAGTCTCCTCTGGAAACACCCTTATAGACACAACCAAAAACAACGCTTTACCAACCATGTAGGTGTCCCTCCATTCAATCAAGTTGACACCTAATTTTACTGCCTGACAAGTTGTTGAGAACAAACACTTTGTAACTCTAGCAAATGACAGGTTCCCCAGTCACATAAGCAGTTTCTCTCTTCCTGAATAGGATTTCAGAAACTCCGTTAATTTGACGTGATGTATTTTTAAAGCTCATTTAGGTCTATACAAAGATAGTTGATTTTATATTTATTTCTGAAATTTGCAAACACCTAGGAACTTTTGCATGTTCAATGTCCAATAATGAAACTAGCTAAGTCAGAATAATTAAGCTTATCTCTAGAGGTTGTTTTTACATAATTAATTGAATGTATATGAAGTAAAGTTGTTATGAGCACCCAAAGACTCTGGACCTATTAATATGGGAGGTCCCATTAGTTTATTACTTCCATGCCTAAAAGGAAAGTTGTATCAATTAATTAAGATATAGGTTTGCATAACAATCATTTCCACATTAGTACATTTGATAATTCAGTCATTCAGGTATTATTTCCCTGCCAGTTGTTATGGATATTTGGCTATTTAAAATATTAATTATCTTTGCTTTGTGGGATTCATAGACAGTTGCCAATAGAAGAACATAATGCTTGTGTGCCATTTGGAATGTGATTATTGAAGAGAGACACATCATTTTCTATTTGTGGACCTCCCTGGGTCTCAGTTTCTTTATCTAAAAAAAAAAAAAATGAATGTTGTATTAGTTTTGGAAGTTGTGTAATAAATTACCACTAACTTAGAAGCATAAAACCACTCATTTGTTATATCGCAGTTCTGTAGATCAGAAGTCCAGGTAGGCTTGGCTGGGTTCATTATTTAGGGTTTCACAGGCTAAACTCAATATATTGGCCATGCTGGCTCTTATCTGGAGTCTATAGAGAATACGCTTCCAATTTCATTCAGGTTATAGGTAAAATGTAATTCTGAGGTCCTCATTTTCTTTTTATTTTCTTTCTCTCTCTTGTTTCCTTTCTTTCTTTTTCTTTCTCTTTCTTTCTCTCTTTCTTTCTCTCTTTCTCTCCTTTCTTCCTTCCTTCTTTCTTTCTTTTTGATGGAATCTTGGCTCTTGCCCAGGCTGGAGTGTAGAATTGTGATCTCAGCTCACCGCAACCTCCACCTCCAGGGCTCAAGTGATCCTCCTCCCTCAGCCTGCCAAGTAACTGGGATTACAAACTGGTGCCACAGCCTGGCTAATTTTTGTATTTTTAGTAGAGATGGGGTTTCACCATGTTGGCCAGGCTAGTCTTGAACTCCTGACCTCAAGTGATCCACATACTTCAGCTTCCCAAAGTGCTGGGATTACCAGCATGAGCCGTCACACCCAACCAAGGTCCCAGTTTTCTTACTGGTCATCAGCAAGAGGCCATTCTCTTAATTTCTAGAGACCACTTTATGTCCTTGATTCATGAATCTGCCACCCCATCTCAACAATGGAGAAACCTTCTGCATGAATTGTTCTCATACTTCCAGTCTCTCTGACATCCTATCCTCTACCAGCTAGAATAGAAATACTGTTTTTAAAGGGCTCATGTAAATAGGGTAGGCCTACCCAGAAGATTTTCTTTTTGATGAATGTGAAGTCGACTGGTAAGGGACTTAATTTCATGTGCAAAATTCCTTTTGCCACTCAGTGTAACACAATCACAGGCATTTCATCATCATCATAATCCCAGAGACTAGAATGGGTGTGTTAGGGGTTTTGAGGAGCATTTTAGACTTCTATCACAAAAGGGATTGGATAAAAATGATCTACTTAGTTCTCAATATTCTCATTTTAATCAATCTTGTCTCTGGAAGTAAATTGGACTCTGGGTAATCCGTTACATGTACCAATATTTTGAGGGGTCTTGTCTTTTATTTCTGTCTCAAGTGACGAAACAAAAAAATAAAATATACCATTCTATGTTCTCTGTGTTAAGGAGAGATTTAGTTCTTCAGATAACTCTGCAAGAGGTCAGAGGAGTACACTACTAATGAACAGAAATTTCAGCCTTACCCAAAAGATAAGGCTGCCGTTTCACAAATAAACTAAGTCTGTGAAATAATTATTCACAAAAAGAGAAACAGGAAAGGAGAAGCATTCCATTTGCATTAAGCATGATATTAGTCACATTCGTCTGTGGTCCCATGATTTTGTCTAAATCTGTAGATGTTTAGACAAAATATATCTTCAGTTATATGCTGTAGATGTTTCCATATCTACAGCACATATCGCATAATAGGTTGGATAATTAATGTTTTGTGAGTGGGATGCTAAACGTCGTGATATCTGTGAACATGTAGTTTTTATTAGAAAAACATGAGTATAATTGGTATAGAATCATGTGTTTTGCAATATGGTTTGGGATACTTAATTACCTGTAAAATACGAGTTTCCCTGGTAACACTCCTTAATCAAAATTGATAAAATTGTATTAAATCAACAGATTTGTCATGGATTTTTAAACGTATTTTGATTTTTGGAATTCTATTACTATACAACATTTCTGTTTAAAACATACGCTATTACTGTCATTTTTCCCATTGATATATTTATTTTCAGTATTTTTTCTGTTTTCCTGTCATTTTCATTTAGTGTCCTATATTTAATTATGATAGATAACAAGTTAAAAGAAATTATTGCTATTATTATTATTTAATTTTAACATGGAACTGGGGGTCATTATTCTAAATAAAGTTAAATTATTATCAGTATTATTATCAGAAAGAACTTTTACATAATTTTATGAATTTAACCACTGTACTTATAATACTTTTTTCAGTGTGAACAAAAAACATTAATATTGATTTTTCCATGTTTTAAACTTTCAGTCTTTTCAGCATAAGAAAACAGCTGTACACATTTAAGTGGTTTTTTTCTTAAAATATAATCTTAACAAAGTTAATGATGATTGGTCTTGGTGGTTCCTACTAATAAATCCTGTCTTATTTTTTCACATAGTATAAATTACATTCTTATGCAGGATTGCATTAAAATCCAATAGCTCTTAATGTTACTAAACCACATAACTCCCAAACGCAGCAAAGGTGAACAATTTTCATAGTGCGTTTTCACCTCCATGAAGTTGAAGCTGCTCCTTTTGGATATTTTTCCACTTCAATGTGAAGTAGATTGTTGCAGTTTTATTAGTGGTTTCATTATGTGGCTTTTTTTTTTTTTTTTTTTTTTTTTTTTTTTTTTTTTGAGACGGAGTTTCGCTCTTGTTACCCAGCCTGGAGTGCAATGGCACGATCTCGGCTCACCGCAACCTCCGCCTCCTGGGTTCAGGCAATTCTCCTGTCTCAGCCTCCTGAGTAGCTGGGATTACAGGCATGCACCACCATGCCCAGCTAATTTTTTGTATTTTTAGTAGAGACGGGGTTTCACCTTGTTGACCAAGGTTGGTCTCGATCTCTTGACCTTGTGATCCACCCGCCTCGGCCTCCCAAAGTGCTGGGATTACAGGGTTGAGCCACCGCGCCCGGCCCTATGTGGCTTTTTAAAAGAAAAAATAGTTTTGATTTCTTCCACAGTTCACAGTTCTCAGACCAGACTTTTTTAATTTTTGTAAATTATGTAGTTCAGGAATGTTTTGAAAAACCAAATGCTCATTAGTAGATGAAAACTCTCAATGTAACTGGAACAAATAAGCATCTATATCCTTAGCTATGTTACCAGTGTATCCTGGAACCATAGTAAGATGGTTTTCCTGTTCCCATAATCCATTGAATTGTTGTTTTAAAAGCTGAGTATTTCCATCATTTATAATTTCTGTTTTGGATGATAGTTCTGACCACCACCTTTGAGTGACTGCTTGAAGCCAGTTTAAACCAACTATGACATATTCTTCAAATGTGCTTTTAAGTAGTGACTTTACTAGAGCCAACAAGTCTACACAGTAGCAAAGTGAGATATACTGTTTTTCTTCCTGTAAACTATTGATGAGCACAGGAAGGCACTCTACTACAATGCCAAGATCTTCTATCCTCAACAAATAATCTGCAAGTTCACTTATACTTCTCTTTTTCCAGAAAGTTAAAGCTACATTCAATCTCAAATTTCTGCTGAACAAAACTTGGGCCATTGTTTCATGGTCCTGAGAAACGTCAGGAAAAAACCTACTGTGTTTCAATGATAGGTTTTCTGTCTGCGAAGAACCGGAATCACTGGAGTTAACTAAGTATGTTCGACTATCATGATATAAATTTTCAGGCAGGTGGCCTGCACAAGCCAGTTCATTCTCTTTATTTGCCATGTCACAGCCCCCACTTCCAGGGAGCTTTCTGCGATAGATCACTTTACATAGTTTATCTGGTCTTTTCACAGTTTGTCCAACCGTTCTATTTACGTAAGCAGCCAACTGTTTTGGAGATTTCTTAATCTCCTTCGTGTTCTTATTAGTGAAATTACAGATCTTTTTTCTAGGAAGATCAATGAAATGATCCTCAATCTTATTAAGAAAATTCCGTTTTTTAACATTTGTGGGTTTCCGATGCCATCTCTTAAGCACCCGCACCTCATGGTACCGCAGCGCCTTAGCCCAGCCCTGTCGCCGACGATCCCCCTACAGCCCAGAGTGTCCCTCCGCTTGGGCCGAGTCCCACTCAGGGCCATTCAAACGCAGCCGCGTGAGGGGCCCTCAGGGATATCTGTATCATACTTTTTAACTGACCAAGAAAATAGAAACAGAAAGCACTATTAAAATAATGAAATTAGATTTTATGAAGCAGTAGTTTTAAGGAAGTGGCTATACTTATCACGGAGTGATTCATGAACAGTGAATTTTTAGGTAGCAATATCTGTTCCATTTCTGTGAACAATCTAAAACCATAAGTAATTATTATACAAAATGATTTGGAAAGTGCAAGAGGTTTTTGAAATGGTTTCACTTAGCAATGTAACTGGACTTTTAAACCTTCCAATCAAATTATTTAGAAATTGTCAATGATTCAAGTCAATCTTCTCAAAATATCCTAAAGATAATTGTCATACTTTATAGATTTCCTATCTTCATTGGTTGTTGGTAACTTTCTAGAGATAAAGCTAACCCACAGAAAGAATAGTGGAATTTTTTTGGCTGATCATGTATATTGATTTTGGATTAAAAATTACTTGAATTATGGGTCATTCAAAAAGAACTAAGGTATGTATTGAGGATACCAGGCACTGTACTGGGTGCTTGGAATACAAAAAAGTGTAAATTATTTTCCCCCTGGATAAGTTGTCAGCTCAGTAAGCAATTTTAAGTCGTAAGATTTCATTAGTTTAGTGGAATTTTTTCTCTTATGCACAGCAACTTTTAAAATGTTTTTGTAGCTTTTAACATCCAGTTAATGAAGCTAATTATTTAAAAAACGTATCTAGCTAATTTTGGTAACAAAGGAGAGGGCAAGGATATTCAGAGATCACAATTGTTATGAATAAAGCACTAAGGCTATGCCATATGTTAGAATTTTATAAAATAAAGCTAAAAGGCGTTGATACAACACATTTGTAAAAACTGCAAATTGAATTGAAATATGGAAAAATTAAGATCAAATAAATTATCATTTTAATTAAATAGTAAAAATAAACATACTTAAAGAGAAATAATTCAAATTTATGTATCTCAGTGTGTATCCAGGTATTAACAAATTTGGGTTTAACTGGTGAAGTATTAAACATATTCAAATATTCCTTCTGTCTAATCATAATGTAAGCAAGTTATATTATGTAAATAATTATCTGTATTCCAACAGCAGGCCATCTGTTGCTCATGTTCACTAAAGAGATTTTTGTGTTCTCTTAATGAGAGTTTCTTTACCACTAATAGTTGACATGATGGATTCCTGTAAAGTAATAAAGGTTATACAATCAGGCCAATGATATTTCTTTTAATCTTAGTTTTCTGCAACTTCTTCTGTCTTTCAATTATTATTGAAGTTGGTTTCTAGTAAATAAATTTCTGCGATTAACATAGAATTAAAAAGCATCATTTAATTAACTATAGGAAGTGATCGTACAGTTTTTAACATCTTAAAAATTATGTGAATTACAGGTAAATATCTAAAAGCACAAGTCATACATAAAACCAAGATACATTCATTTGTATGAAGAAAGTTAATTTGGGACACCTGATTGTGTCACTTTTGTTAAGATCTGCTTAATTACGCGTTTGTTTATTTAATAGTACTTCATTTATAGAAATTTAACTGTAGGCTAAATGGGTGCCTGATATCACCGTATTAATGCTAAAATATAGTAATAACTGTTGTAGCAACATTCCTCTTCATCCTCATACCCATTAACGTCCCAAGCTCTTGACTCTAACTCCAAAGTAGCTCACCTGTTTTCATTACCAGTGCTGCCATTGTAATTCAGGCACCAGTTTTCTTATTTTTGCTTGTTTTATTTTATTTTATTTTATTTTATTGTGGTCTTTCACTGTACCTATTAAAATGACTTCCTAAATGTTTTCACTGGCTCCAAGCTATCTGCTTTTTAGCAGATTTGAGCAATTGGTGTCAGAATCACCTTCCTATAGTCATGTTCTAATAATGTCATACTCTTCTCCAAACTTCCCATCATTTACTGAAGAAGTTCCTTCTTTGTCTTGTAGCTAAAATCCTCCATAATCTAGCTACAATATGAAATTTCCAACTTGTTTCTCAAAATCACTATACCTTCTATAACATACAATCTAGCTGCAATAGCGGCAATCTATAGAGTATGTTCAACCTAGAGACAAAATTGTTTATTAGAATTTTTCCTGTAGGAGTCCTGATTTTAGAACTTGACCTTAGGATTATAACAGCTAATTTTTAGCTCTATGATGAAATAACAATTTGAGGGACAATATTTATTTTATAGTATTCTGTATTCATAAAATCTTAGTACTTTACACAATGGAGATAAATCATATAATTTAAAGATGAGAATCTCTCTTTTATGAAGTTTGTACATTTTAATATACATATTATATTGTAATTCTATAAAAACATTCAATTAAAATTATATTAGTATAAGAAAGTAGCATATAATTAATGAAAGATGATTCTGTCCATAAAATGCGCTAGGCTGAGGCAGAAGGATTGTTTGAGCCCAAGAGCCAGAGGCTGCAGTGAGATATGATCAGACAACTACACTCCAGCCTGGGCAACAGAGCAAGACTCTTTCTCTAAAAATATATACATTTTACTATAATTCTTGAAGTTTATATATTTTCATCAACAAACATACATACAAACTTTTTGTCAGTTTGTCATGTAAACCACATGGAGAACTGAGTTCCTTTAGTGATTTAAAAATCTATGAATTCCTTTGTGTTAGTAGATTATTGAATTCAAAATTATAGTTTTCCTTGCTAGCTGACTATTACTCTTAGATTTTTGTCATTATTCTTTGTTGTATTGGCAAAGAAGAGAAAACAAGGAATCAGATAAAATATTTGTTCCTAAACTTGTGGGGAAAAGGAGCTATCCTTTGAATATTACTGAGCATAGAACCTTGCCCCAGAGACCTAGCCTTCCAATAAGGAGAGCTACCACTGACATTGGGAACTAGATGTCTGGCAGAGATAATGTGCCTTGAGATTTTTGATTAATTAATTCTTAGATATATTTGAAGCTGAATTTGTTGATTCATTCATAGTTGTCCATCAGAGTTCATCACTTTTCTGCTTAGTTTTTTTTGTTTGTTTGTTTGTTTGTTTTTTACTATTTACTTGTCACATTTTACTCCATTGCTTTTTTTTTCTTGTTCCTAAGATGCCTCTTTTTTTTTTTAATTAATTTATTTAACTTTAGGTGCATACTATATCTGGCATTTCTCCCCATGTTATCCCTCTCCACCCACCCCTCCCTCCCCACCCCCTATTGTCTCTCCCCTACCCCCCAACTGCCCCCTGTGTGTGATGCTACTCCATTGCTTTTATTATGATATATCGTTACCACATTTTAGTAAGTTCATTGGGCTTTCCAAAGAAATTACTACTTAGTAAATAGTCAATCTTAAGTCTTCTCTTAATGGTGTGTGTGGGGGTGAGCGAGAGAGAGAGAGACAGAGAGAGAGGGAGTGTGTGTGTGTGTGTGTGTGCACCTGAGGGGTTGGAGTGGAGAGTTAAAGGATGTGTCACAGTTATTATTCTTCTAGTGATTACAGTTGCTTAAAATCTCAGTGTGCATGAGACCATGCTTCCTCTTAATTTGGAGGGCTGTATACAAAAAAGAACATTGAATTTAGAGCCTGTTAAGATTGATTTTGATTCTGATTCTGCCACTAATAGCACTGTGAATTTGGTGAAGACTTTTAATCTGTTAGGCTAGGTTTTCTTTTTGGGAAGAAAAGTATGTTTATTTGTGCTGTAATTTCTTGCTGTGTTGTTTTCATCTTAAGGAGATCAAGTATAAAAGTGCTGTGCATTTGCTGAGTAATATTACAAGCAGAATGCCACATATTATTAATTGAAATTTTGTTTCAAACATTTATATGTAGTAGAATTTTTCCAACGCAGTGTTTATGTGCTAAACTTCTAGGAATAATATGTTTATTTTGCACCTAAACATTGGAAGACACAAGGAGAAGCATATCTAGATAATGATAGATAACAATAAGCCAGGTGTAAAGTAAGATGTTGATTGAGAGACATTGTACTTAATCTAAAATTTGTTTCAGGAACATTGCCATGAGGATATTTACTGCCAAAAAATGTTTTTTTCCCCACATTTTGTACTAATGGTGGAATTTTCACTTTTAATAAAAGGAAGTTATAAATTATTTCAGGGAATTTTTATTAAACCTCCTGATAAATCAAACTGAGTTTTATGGGTTTGCATGTGCAGGGTTTTTTAAAATTTATTATGGGCACATGATAAATGCCTACTAAAACAACCACTGGTGTTCTAGCGCGCGCTCTCTCTCTCTCTCTCTCTCTCTCTCTCTCTCTCTCTCGCTCTCTCTCTCTTCAAATATCATGAAGAATTGTACTCCACAGAATAGCATTTAGGATGATGTAGACTTAAGAGAGACATGCATGTATCATCAGTACTTTTCACTGAAACAGTCTAGATAGGATGTCACCCGCAGGAGGAGGTACAAACCTTGCAGGGTATGGAAAAAAATGAAAACTATAAACTTAAGGAATACAAAGGAACAAATTACTGTTCAATTCAGTAGGGATCTGTAATTCTCCACTGCTCAGGTGCAGATGAAAACTACTCAGGTCAGAATCAAGTTGTTTCTATAAGAGATAGCTCTATAAATAATGAGCTGTTTGTTTCTATAAGAGATAGCTCTGTAAGTAATGAGCTCTTCTCGGTGAGCCAATCATTACCAATTGCCTGTTTAAAATGTCAGAACTGTCAAGGTCAATTGGTGTTCAGCTAATGGCTCTGACCTGGTGTCACACGCAGTCTATAAGTTAAATTTTAAGTCTCAAAAAAGGATTATGTTTGTTTCCAGAGGCAATATTTGAATCAACAATGTTGTGAGTACTTCCGTGAAAATGACTCAGGTTGATTGA